ATCATCATAGAAAGGAGCGTAGGATGACAGTCAACACTCGACCTCAAATTCATCAACTTTGAAAAGGTCTTCGACATCGTCGACAGACAAGTAATTTGGCAACTACTTCAACACTACGGTTTCAGTGCCACAAACCTTTATCAACCTCATTCAACAACTATATAAAAACGCCACATGCCAAGTAATTCACAATGGGAAGCTCAGTGATGCATTCGAAGTGAAGATAGGAGTAAAACAAGGCTGTCATCTACTATCACTCGTAATATTCCTGATTCTGGTCAACTAGATCATGCAACAAACAGTGAGGAGCGAGATGAGAGGCATACGCTGGATGGACCGGAGAAAAGATGTTATAAGACTTGGATTTCACCCATGACCTGTGTCTGATGTCACACAAACTCGAAGATCTACAGGCAAAAACTAACAGGTTGACAGAAGAGGCAGCAAAGATGAGAATCCCTTCAGGTGAATGCAGAGAAGACAGAGGTGATGAGGATATCCAACCAACGCCACCACCATCACCACCAGCAACAACAACAACAAGCTCCAATCACCATCAACAGGAGAAACTTAAAGCAACTAGCCTCTCTCACCTACTTTGGCAAGCCAGCACTGTTTCAACTACAGGCGCACAGGCACAGATGACGATGTCAAAGCCAGTCACGATCGGAAACACACCTACACAGGCCCTCATTAATCTGAAACCAGTATGCAGATCTACTGCATTGCACTAAGCACAAAGAACAAGATCCAGATTGTAAACACCACTCAGTCAACTCAGTGTTTCTGTATGGCTCAGAGATTTGGTGCGTTACGAAAGGCATTTCCAACAAACTACAGACATTCATCAACAACTGCCTACACTGGCTCGTAACTGTAGATCAGATGGATTACCAGAAAGAATAAGAATAATCAACAAGAAACTCACTCTGGGAACGAACCAACTAAGAACCTATCACCCAACAAATATGCACTGGAAGGAAGTGGAGATGGGGATGGATTGGACATATACTGAGAAGACCGACTGGGGACATCACGCGTCAGGCCAGACACTCGAGTGGAACCCAGATGGTTGGCGACGAGTTGTGCGTTGTAGGTGAGGGTGACATTGATGAGATTGTGTGAGGAAGAAATGAGAGGTTGTGAGCTGTCGTGGAACCAGGTTCAAAAGTTTGCAGAGAAGAGAGTCGAATGAAGACCTGCTATTGAAGTGGTATGTTCCATCAGGAGCCCATGGGATAAATAACAATAATAAGAATATTTTAACTGATCAAATAAATGTGAACATGGGACCAAGCATTACCGGATAACGGTCTACGTCGCCACATCTCATAACAAAACGACAAGTAACAAAGTAATATGATGAAAGATAAAGGAAAGGAAAATCGATTAAAAACAGTTTAACAATTAAAACTTAGTTAATATTTGCAGGATACACCTACATCACTGATATGAACTCCGATCCACATCAGTTAGACTGTGCATTCACTAGTTTCTCTTATCAAGTGAATCACAACCGGTTAATTTGCATCTCACAACATGACTTCAGCCAACAATCGGGGACTTCATGCAGTGATGTTATGATTATTTCCAACCATGTTGAGCCTTTCTCCATGTTGATCCTACTTCAGTCAGCGTTGGGTGATGAGGTGGACGGTGATTAGGTATGTGTGTGACATGTTGTAGTAAACTGAACCGATGAGTTTTCACGATCTTATCAACTGACGTTTCTCTCCTCCATGAAATTGTGTGATAGGCTTATGTGTTAATCAGGTGGTGACACCTCGATGCATGTTCTATGTTAGGAAGGGAGTTGTGTTCAAACATCAGAAGCCCTTTTGTGTTCTCTTCTTTGAATACTGATGTTTCTGAGTGATGGAGTGAAAGAAACTGAAGTGCAGTTCAGTGTATCCGATTCTTATAGGCAATCGAATATCGTAGTTGCGCTGCAGGTGGCGTAATTTGACGAAGACCGATCGAGATATTTTCTTGCGGTAGAGATTTTACTGGCCACTGACCTACAAGATCTGATGCTGTTTCACATTTAATTATAATGACATTCAACCACTCATCTGTCCATTGTTACACAGAGCACCACTGAATACTGGTCCTAGAGCCACTACCTGCGTTTGGGTGGAATGAAGCACAACCTAGGCAATCTCAGTTTGTCCTTCAGGGTGTTCAGCGTCTTCACTTAACGGGACTACGTCATCTGCTTATTCTATATGTACCTTGAATTCTTCTGTGATTAGATCAATATTTTTGGTGTCAGATGAAGACAGGGAGGCCTCCACAAGATTTGTGACAAAACTGAGCAGGAATGGAGATCGAAGGCACCCTTGACGAAGATTACTGGATGTATACAGTTCAACTGAAATCCTACCATAGTCTCCAACAACTCGACGACTGTTCGAGTAAAGAAACTTCAACAGAGTGTTGTACTTGTTCGGTACCTCTTTCAGTGAGAGATACTGCCAAAAGTACTCCCGATCGATGGAGTCGAACGCTACCTTAAAACCAAGAAATACAGTCAGTTTTGGGCGTCGGTAACTGTGCCTGTTTTCTACAACCTGTGCTGTAGCCTGCATGATTTTCTCGGCCTTGATGTTCCTGGACATCGTAGAAACTAGTATCTTAGACACTACGTTCATCAAGCATATCCTTCTGTGGTTATCACAAGAGGATGCCTCACCTTTCTTGAAAACTTGAAAGATCAGTAGTTGCTTTGTAAGTCAATTAGTAAGAAATATTCATAAGACAAGAATGTTTTTATGCAGCGGTAGTATTCCCATTGGTTGGTGCAACTCCATTTTCCTTTACCAGTAATAGTATTGACGGATAGTGGCTAGCAGTAAAATCCAGGAACCACGTTTAGTCCTTTTGCGGACTCGTCAGTTGTATGTTCCTGCCTACCGGTGAGTGATACTATTCGTCCTAGGATTCCAACCCAGGACCGATTGCTTCAGATGCCAGAGCTTCATCCACTAGACCAGTGAGTCATAATAACCATGTATTCTGTGACGGGTACAGTTTTTCTATTATTGCTAGCACTTTTGCTTTCTTGGTTGGTAGTATTACATAATTAGTATTTAACTGTAACTGATTTCAAATTTCTGTCCTTGATTTTGTTAACATTCATGATTGTGATAGATTCCGTATATTTGTTCTAGTTGTCCGACTGAAAAAAATACGAATCTTGCCAACTCACTCAACTAGCACAATGAATGAGATAACACTGGATTGAAGTTGACTTCAAGGAAAAACCGTATGTTTAAGGGTCTTTCTTGTTGGTTAATATACAGTGGAAATGGTCCTGGGGTGAACAAGTAAGTGAACATGTATCCAAAGCAAAAGAATATACAGTGAGAATGTGTAGTCATGAAAAGTGGTTAAAACAAATGATGCATACAAAGTGGAAAAAATTAGGAAGTCAGACTTCTACCAGGTCATTTCTAGAAAACAAAACTCACAAGCATTCATTTTATTTAAGGATATAACATTGTTAACAAAGATTCTCTAAAATATTTTCATACTGTCCAACCATCAAAAAGACAATTCAGAATGATTTTTTGATTGTCTGGTTAATTCTACTCAGTCTGGTAGTATTGAAGTATAGTGGCTAGCAGTGGAATCCAGGACACGAATTTTATCTTATTTGAGACTCTTCAACTAGATTTACCTGCCTCTTTGCAAATGTTTTTATTCCCATTAAGACTTGAAAACAAGATCTATCGCTTCAAACGCCAAACTGAAATCAGAGGCAATATCAAGGCATCCCTGCATGCACTGATATGCTAAGCGACATAGATGAATTCGGTCTAATCTACGACTCTGTTGCACTAGAATCCCCCTTCAGAGGCAATTATAAAATCATAACATTTCAAAGACAGTGAGAATGGGAAACTTGGAAACACTAAAAGCCTTGGCAATTTATCGATTCAAGCTTGATATCTACTTTTAAAAGCAGTACGTCGAATCTCTAATACTATTCTAGTCATAATCACCGTAAGATGTTTGATTTGTTGATTTATTTCAATCATATAAACGATTTTCGATGACTTTATGCTGACCTTCTAGCCATAGTCACCTTTTAATAAGCTTGTGTCGACCCATTAGCTATTGATCGGCATATATTTTTGCTGTAAATATCTATAAATGCGACTGCACAACTTGTGAAAGTGATTCATCTCAAAGAAACTTCTCTTCGCTGCAACTACGTCTTATGGTTTGTGATAATTTGAATATTTAGAAAGGTACAGATACATAAATCTGGTTTGGCATTTACCAACTTGCGTAATCTGTGGCACTAACTGGCTGAATATTCGACCATCTATCAAAGGACAATAATAGTGCGCTGAAGTCTGTTCTGCCCTGTTATACGTGATGGTCGTTAAAATTAGAAGATATGAAGCAGTTGTAGAGTTTTGATCGTAGTTGTCTTGGCAGCATTGCTCGCGTGTAGTGGCATCACCGTATGAGCAGTGTTTAGGTCAGGCGGAGGGTACTAGGCATGACAAGCAAGTCGATTTTGATGAGACTGTGAACCTTCATCTGTTCAGATGGCTTGGGTATGTAATGCGCTTACTACTCAACCACCACTTACCTTAATTTGTCATGCTAGGTGAAGTTGGATTAGGTTCAGAGCGTGTTCAAAGTGGTCAGTCGAAGACGTGGAACTAGTATGATTGCTAGTCTGAACTATATGGGGCGATGTAGACTCCTTGGATGACATCCTTGAGACAAAAGGAATCAATGGCTGACGACTCTCAGTGACATCCCCGAATATCATTGACAACGGCTCAGAAATCAGTTGATATCAATCTCTTTCTTTCCATCTGTTCTTTGCGTACTAATGATAAGTGATGCAAGCTTAGCCAATGAAATTGTGTGCTTCGTTCTACGTTGATTTTGTCAGTAAGTCAGTCATTCAGCCAATATTATGGGCAATTTCATGAGCAAATGAGACATGTTTAATGATATCACATTGATTGAAAACTTACCACCTGTGTAGGTTTTATTCCACAGAGTATAATCTGGATGTGGATGTGAACTATTCACTTTGTTTATTTGATCTAACATAAATGAGAATAGAAATAAAAATATTATTTTTACTGGAAAATGAATAAAGTGAATCGAAATTTTTTGTTTTATTACCAAAAAAAAGAGAAACAGATGAGATAAACTGTTCACACAATTCACGTGAGATATATCTTCTTATGGCTAATTGCATAACCTCACCTGGTCAACTAGTTCACTAGTTACTAGCCGGTCCTAAGCTCGGGTAAAGAGGGAAGGTTGGGCATAGAGCTAGCAATCCTACCCCGTAACAAGATCCGGATTTTCAATACCAACGTCAAGTCAGTCCTTCTGTATGGTTCAAAGAATTAGCGCGTTACGAAAGGGACTTTCAATAAACTACAGATATTCATCAACAACTGCCTACACTGGCTAATTACTGAAGATCAGATGGATTGCCAGAAAGAATAAGCAACAAGAAACTCTGGCTGGCTGGCGACGAACCAATCAAGAACCTATCGCTCAACAAATATGCACTGGAAGGAAGTGGAGATGGTGATGGATTGGACATACACTGAGAAGACCGACTGGGGACATCACGCGTCACGCCAGACACTCGAGTGGGACCCTCATGGGAAGCGACGAGTTGTGCGTTGTAGGTGAGGGTGACATTGATGAGATCGTGCGAGGAGGAAATGAAAGCTTGTGGGCTGTCGTGGAGCCAGGTTCGAAAGCTTTCAGAGAACAGAGCTCATCGGAGACGTACTACTGAAGCCCTATGTTCCATTAGGAACCCAATGGACTAATAATGATAATAATAATAATGTCTAATTGCATAATAATGGTTTCAATTCATCATTTACTATTTGAATAAACTTACGTAGCTATAACACGTAAAGATTATGTTTTTCTGTCTTAAGGTATGGTTACAAAATTTACTCTTTTTAAAAACAACAATTAAGCCTTTAACACACCTCCTTCATATAGAGTTTCCCACCAAAGAAATCAGAATATTACTTATTTAATGAACAAAAATTTTTAGATATAAAGTCCAAATTGGTGAGTATTTCTTTCAACAAAGGACAGCTGTATGAAGGTGATGAAAATAATAATTAATAAAGTGACAACTTCTAGGAGATCCTGACAAAAGCTCATCCTACAAAGCTTCATTCTCATAACATCTTGAATAGGCCAATGTAATAACATTATCTTCAAGCTTATCATGCACGAGTATAATGGTAGAAAGTTTTGCACTTAAAAATAGGATGGAGAACTTTGTTACAGGTCTGTTTCTCGTAGGAAAAACTCTGTTTTTCCGTTATATTATTTGTCATAGAGTAAAAGTAAAGGTGTATCAGTTGGTCATATAAAACAGAAGGTATATGATTTTGAAATAATGGAGAATATTTGTAGGTCAGGTGAATGATCTTAGTTGTATTGTGTTCACTGAGCTATGTTGTTTAATCGTGAAGCTTTCATTGTCTTTCTGGACGACATCATCAGCACTAACTTCAGTATGAAGTTACAACCAAGAAGGTGTATAAATTTTTTAGTATGAACAAGATTTGCAGTTCTGTATGAGAATATGTATTTAACATTGGTTCGGGGCTTAAACAAGGAAGACTAGTTCAAATTTTACTTTTATCTCGGTGTTTGAACAGAGGAGCATTTTGAGATAGTGTATAACTCTAAAATGGAAAGTCTCAAGTTTACTACTGGTAAAACTCAAGTTTATTTACACAAAATCATATTGAATATGCTCAGAATTGAAAAGAATCAACCTGTTAGCTGATATGAGTTTGACTTTTTCTAGCTCCATTAAAACATACTGATTAAGGTAACACTCCGTTCATTTTTGATTTCGAAGGGATTCATTTAATACCTAAAAATTCGGTAACGCACTAAAAACAAGACTTCGATGTTAAACTTCCTTAGAAAACCAATAAGATACAAAGTCTTTTGTCAGCTATGAGTAGATGTTTGAGTGTATTTAACAGGCATTCGTTGACTATCAAACTAGCGATTGGATAATGCAGCTGGACTAAGTTATATCAGTCTTCCAGTTATTAAATTAGGGATTAAATGGTTGAATGCGTCGATGATAACTATACAGTCCGTATCAGTATACTAGTGTTATTCAAATGAACTATAAGTCAAAACCAAGTAATCCTTCTTCATAGAGAGCAGGCAAAGTGTCGTCTTCATTTCAAAAATGTAAACGAAAAGGGAATGATATTTTTATACCTATGCCTTTGAACTAAAGATAAAAGTAAACCGAGGCTGCCATCTACTATCAATCATAACATTCCTGATTTTGGTCAACTAGATCATGCAACAAACAGTGAGGAGCGAGATGAGAGGCATACGCTGGATGGACCGGAAAAAAAAGATCCTAGAAGAGTTGGATTTCACCCATGACTTGTGTCTGATGTCACACAAACTCGAAGATCTACAGGCAAAAACTAACAGGTTGACAGAAGAGGCAGCAAAGACGAGAATTCCTTCAGGTGAATGTAGAGAAGATTGAGGTGATGAAGATATCCAACCAACACCACCACCATCACCACCAGCAACAACAACAACAACAACAAGCTCCAATCACCATCAACAGGAGAAACTTAAAGCAACTAGCCTCTCTCACCTACTTTGGCAAGCCAGCACTGTTTCAACTACAGGCGCACAGGCACAGATGACGATGTCAAAGCCAGCCACGATCGGAAACACACCTACACAGGCCCTCATTAATCTGAAACCAGTATGCAGATCTACTGCATTGCACTAAGCACAAAGAACAACATCCAGATTTTAAACACCAACTCAGTCAACTCAGTGTTTCTGTATGGCTCAGAGATTTGGTGCGTTACGAAAGGCATTTCCAACAAACCACAGACATTCATCAACAACTGCCTACACTGGCTCGTTACTGAAGATCAGATGGATTACCAGAAAGAATAAGAATAATCAACAAGAAACTCACTCTGGGAACGAACCAACAAAGAACCTATCACCCAACAAATATGAACTGGAAGGAAGTGGAGATAGGGATGGGTTGGGCAGATACTGAGAAGACCGACTGGGGACATCACGCGCCAGGCCAGGCACTCAAGTGGAACCCAGATGGTTGGCGACGAGTTGTGCGTTGTAGGTGAGGGTGACATTGATGAGATTGTGTGAGGAAGAAATGAGAGGTTGTGAGGTGTCGTGGAACCAGATTCAAAAGTTTGCAGAGAAGAGAGTCGAATGAAGACCTGCTATTGAAGCGGTATGTTCCATCAGGAACCCAAGGGATAAATAATAATAATAATAATTTTTACACCTATGAACATTTTTGTAAGGCTTTCAAAGTATTATGAACCAGACACAACCAATATCCATAATTTTTGTCACCAAGATTAATTCAGATACAAATGAATGATAAAAATTCAAGCTTTATTACTTTTATGCTGATATTTAGTTAATCAGGCATTCTAATTTGTAAGCATAAGATTTTTAGAGATCATAGAAAAACCTAACTATAAACCTTTAATTTGAAAATTGAATCTTTGTACCATTTTCTATACTTTGTCTATTTTACCTAATAACTGTAGAAACAAGAAATTGTTTGTCTGTAATATTCATTTTCCTATGAATACAATTTTTGTAAAACGGATGTACATTTAAGTGGAAATATACACTAACTCACTTTTGCTGTGTTCTAACTGTTTCCAAATGTAGTATTACTGCTTGTATTATACTGTCGTTGATTGGACGAAATTGATCACTCTCTAATAGCATATGAGCTCCTGTGCGGATGTTTGAATATTGTCTGTGTTTCAAACATGTATAGTAAGGATGGATAATGGCTAGCTGTGGAATCCAAGATGCGCATTCCACCCTATTTGGTACCCATCACTTGGATGTACCTGCCTCCTAGTGAGTATTATTGTTCCCACCGGGATTTGAACTCGGGAACAATCGCATCAAATACCAGAGAGTTGTCCACCAGACCAATGAACCACGGTTTGAAGCGATCGGTCCCCAGTTGGAATCCCAGTGGGAAGAACATCACTCACCGAGAGGCGAGTACATCCAGCTGACAAGACCAGAATAGAGTGGAATGTTCACCCTGGATCCCACTGTTAGCCATCATTCATCATTGTTTCCGCTTCTGGCTGAGACAAGTAAATAATAGATTGTCTTTGGAAAACGTTTGTAGGAAATCCATCTCTTGATTCTAAAAAGCACTAATCGTTTATTCTATGATAGTGCCCCTCGATTTTTGTCATCATCACACTCTCTGATACTTCTCATCGTGTTGCGGAGTTTAAATCTGTAGTAATTCGAACCTAGTAACACTTTTCTCAAGTAACTTTCTTTTTGTGTGCATTAACAGTATTTATTGACTTTTCAATTAAGTATCTATTTTTGTAGAAATACTTTTGTATTTTGTTTTACTGTCAGTGATTTCAGATAACGGAGACTTAATCATATTCTGTTAATTGTTTCTCGGTTTACTGATGGCTTTCAGTTTTAAGAAAAAGTAAAGTAGATCACAGCATTTCACTCTATCTGAAAAACAACATTTTTCTGTGGACTTACAATTTGATTATGTTTACAAAATAAAATATTCAGATTGCGATGCAGTATACTTAGGATAAACTTCATGTGAGATCAAAATTAGCAATATTGAACGCAGAAGAGCTTCCGCTTGCCCCCCCCCCCAGGAATCTAGTAAAGCTGAAAAAGCCTGAAAACACTTGAGTTATAGCTTTACAGTCTATAGTTTCAGGTCACAATGGTCTATATTGAAAATATTCACAGAGACTTTGGAAACTATACTGAACGTCTCATACCAGAATCTGTTTACATGTAGTAGAATAAAAATTGTATAAATACGAACGAGGGAGTAAAATGTAACTTGACCCAGCTTCAACCTACCCCATATATTAATCAGACCAAAATGCATACAATTAGATGTACAAGTATATCTGTACATACAAACTTTAAAGACTCATCACAGTCAACATGCTGCATATAGACTTCATATTCATCAACAATTTCCATCCATCCATTTTAGACAGAAACTGAAACTAAGTTATTATACATTAGCATGTTATTATTATTATTGTTTATCCCTTGGGTTTCTAGTAGAAGATAGTGCTTCACTACGACGTCACCACTTCACTCTCTTCTCTACAGTCTTTTTAACCCGGCTTCACGACTACCCGTAAGCTTTCATTTCTTCCTCACACGATCTACTCATTATCACCCTCGCCACGGAAAACCAACTAGTCGTTTCCCATTTCACTTTCACTCGGTGGCATGGTCTGACGCATGATGTCCCTAAACTATCTTCTCAGTCTACGTTCAATCCAATCCAATCCATCTCCACTCTTTTCTGCATATTTGTTGAGTGATAGGTTCTTGGTTGGTTTGTTGCCAGCCAGCTAGAGTTCCTTGTTGCTTATTCTTATTATTCTGGCCATCCATCTGATCGATCTTCAGTATCGAGTGAGCGTAGGCGGCAGCTGTTGATGAATATCTGTAGTTTGTTGGAAATGTTTTTCGTGACGCGCCAAGCCTCTCCACCATCACATAAAATTAGTGTTGGAAATCCGTATCTAGTTCACGCTTTATGTTGAGTGCAGTGCAGTGCAGTAGATCTCTACACTGATTTCAGATTAATGAAGGCCTGTCTTACCAATCCTGGCTGGCTTTGACATCCTCATCTGTGCCTGTGTTGCCTGTAGTTGAAACGATGCTGTCTAGATAGGTGGGTAGGTGGAAGAGACAACTTCATTTAGATTTCTCCCATTGACGGTGCTTGTTGTTGCTGTTGGTTGGGTATCTTCACCTCTACCTCTGCCTTCTCTACGTTCATCTCTCTTCGCTGCTTGGATATTGTGAATTCAAATATAATATGACTATGATAAAGCTGTTAACACTGAATGGTGAACCTATCAGCGACAACAGCTTTGCTTTATTTTACACCAACTGGGAAATATCATTTCCAAAACAGGAAACAGGCATACAATGAAATTCACTGCTAGCCACGATGCATCATTAACATAAACCGTTTTATTTTACCCTTTCAACTCTAAAAACTGATTCATTCTTATTAGAAAAATATTTCTATTAAATATTAATTACATTGTTTAATACATTATAGATAACAATTGGAATTATGCAGAAAATTGAAGTTTAATCATAAACTTCATCATTCAACTTACGATATAGATAATCACCAGTGTAATATAAGAAATTACACATTAAAACATAATACACAATTAGTGCACCAATAAGAGCTACCATAGAAAATGCAACAGCTGTTATATAACCTGGTTTTCCCAAATGATAATAGCATACATCAGTGAATTCCATGTCAACAGATGAGTGTAAATTTTGTATTACTGTGAATTAAAATATACACAAAAATAATTTAAGGATATTTACATAAAAGAATGTATGTAAAGTGTATATAGACTGTATACGTCACATTTTGTAATCTTTCAATGAATACATGTAATAACTAGATAAAACAGTCTAATCACTAGTTAGTAAGTAATAAGAGTATTTTTGTGATGCATCTAGATTTTAATTTAGAGACAGTATTCATCACGGACAACCTCGCCTGGTTAACTAGTTCACTAGTTACTAGCCGGTTCTAAGCCCAGGTAAAGAGGGAAGGTTGGGCATACTACTAGCAACCCTAACCCATAAAACAATCAAACCAACCGCTAAAGAAACCTCAAAGCACAAACAAAATATAAAAAATAAAAACGAAATTATTCCTCGCTGGAATCGGAGAGGTGAAATGACGCCGGTTGGTGAAAGCCTTCGGGAAGCCAATTAGCCGGGCCGATGTGTCTTCTCTCCCACGATGAAAGTGAAAGTAAACATGGAGATATGGAATGTCCACACGATGTTTGAACCCAGCTAGGCAGCCCATATTGCAAACGAGATGAGGTAACGCATTGAAGTGCTAAGAATTTGCGAAAGCAGATGGATTGGGAGCGAACTCTCTAAATTGTCAACTGGAGAATCAATAATATACTCCGATATTGTCGCCTAGACAACAACCATGAGCACAATGAGGGAGTGGCTGTCATGATGTCCACAACACCATCGAAGGCACTCTTTAATGCAGTTGGAACCAATCTCTTCCAGGATCACGACAGCAAGGTTCAACTCAAAAGGAAGGAGGGTCACAATCATACAATGCTACGCTACCCACCTACAAAAAATGCAGAGCAAGAGAAGAAGAAGGAATTCTACAGACAACTTCAATCAACACTGGACAAGACCCAACTCCAGTTGGCGATATCAAAATTCTAATGGGTGGGGCGACATGAATGCCAAACTGGGAGTTGACAACACAGGAAGAGAACTCATCATGGGACAAGAAGCGCTAGGTGAGGTGATGAATGAGAATGGAGAATTGTTTGCAGAATTCTGTGCATTCAACGATTTGGTGATTGGAGTCAGTGTGTTCAAGCACAAGGATATCCACAAAGCGACATGGATACGATTTCAACAGATGGACACACTAAAAATCAAATCGACTTTATCTCAATCTCAAGAAGGTGGAGACGCAGTCCACTTGACACAACGTCAGATCAAGAAGAGGAGCAGATGAAGGTTTAGACCACTATCTGATGCAAGGAACCTCCCAAATCAAGTTGAAAGACTTCAAGGAAGTTGGTGATAGATCACAGTTCAAGTACAACACTCGGAAACTGAAGGATGAAATTACAAAGGAGATCTTCACGGCAGCCAGCCATCAAGACAAAATGGGAGATATGGAGGAACATCCCTGAAGAAACCTGTGTGCATGAGCACTAGAACTCTCTGAAAGAGATGTGGGAAGAAGCCTGCACAGCCGTACTAAGAAGGAAGAAGAAAGAAGATAAGGAATGGATCTCGACGGACACATGGAAGCTTATAAAACAGGCGGAGGAGGATGGTGAAGCAGGAGATAAACCACTGCAAGGATGCTCAGCAAAAAGAATTGAGTACAATGTATAAAACACTACACTGGACAAAGAAGTGAAGAAGAGTACACGGAAAGACAAAAGACACATCTACGACACATTGGCAAGTGAAGCAGAACAGGCTGCAGGTAAGAGAGACCTAACTACATTGTATCAAATAACCAGGTTACCATCTGGGAAGAGATAAACACACATGAAACCAATAAAAGATGATGAAGGAAATATAATTACAAAAGAAGAGAAACAAAGGAAACGATTGGCCGACCACTTCAGGAAGCTCTTGAATCGACCACCACCTGCACTTCGTCCAGAAATACTGCCTGCAGCCGCAGAACAACAGGTGAAGATAAATCCTCCAACAAAAATGGAAGTCCTGAACGCCATAAAGCTAATGAAATGTGAGAAAGCAGCAGGACCAGATGGAATCCCGCCAGAAGCACTGAAAACAGACGCAGAGACAACAGCGGACATGCTCACATCACTCATGCAGAGGGTCTGGAAGGAAGGGAAGGAACCTGTTGGTCAATTGAAAGAAGGGCTACCTTGTCAAACTCTTGAAGAAGGGAGACCTCAGTGTCTGCAAGAACTGGCAAGGGATCATTCTTCTGTCCACCCCAAGCAAAATATTAAGCCGCATCATCCTGGAGAAACTAAAGGATGCACTGGATTCAAAACAGGCAGGCTTCAGGAAGTACAAATCATATGTGGACCTAAGTGCAACGCTTCGCATCATCATAGAACAGAGTACAGAATGACAGTCAACTTAGCTCTACCTGAACTTCATCAACTTTGAAAAGGTCTTCGACAGCATCGACCGACAAGTAATTTGGTAACTGCTCCAACACTACGGGATACCGCAAGCCTTTATCAACCTCATTCAACAACTATATGAAAACGCCACATGCCAAGTAATTCACAACGGGAAGCTCAGTTTTGAAATTACTGGTAACTAGGGTGTAACGTACAACTGTTTCGTTCATATATGTGACACCTGAGAGTGTGTTATCTTACAATTGGTGTACATTTGTAGATAACAAATCACTGGGAGCATAACAAGTCATAACCTTAATTGGATTTACTTGCGAAACGTTAGAAAAGACAAACAGACAAACTCATTCAACAACTATATGAAAACGCCACATGCCAAATAATTCACAATGGGATGCTAAGTGATGCTGTTGAAGTGAAGATAGGAGTAAAACAAGGCTGCCATCTACTATCACCCATGATATTCCTGATTCTGGTCAACTGGATCATGCAAAAGACGATGAAGAGAGAGATGAGAGGCATACGCTGCCTGGATCGGAGAAAAGGTCCCAAAAGAGTAAGATTTCACCGATGACTTGTGTCTGATGTCACACAAACTCGAAGATCTACAGGCAAAAACTAACAAGTTGACAGAAGAGGCAGCAAAGATGAGAATCCCTTCAGGTGAATGTAGAGAAGATTGAGGTGATGAAGATATCCAACCAACGCCACCACCACCACCACCAACAACAACAACAACAAAAACAAAAACAACAAGCTCCAATCACCATCAACAGGAGAAACTTGAAGGAAATAGCCTCCTTCACCTATCTAGGCAGCACCGTTTCAACTACAGGCGGCTCAGACGAGGACGTTACATTCAGGATCCGAAATACAGCAAGACGCGTTCATTAACCTGAAACCAGTATGGAGATCTACTGCATTCCACTAAGCACAAAAAACAAGATCCAGATTTTAAACACCAACTCAGTCAACTCAGTGCATCTGTGTGACGGTTCAGAGACTTACGAAAGGCATTTTCAACAAACTACAGACATTCATCAACAACTGCCTACAGTGGCTAATTACTGAAGATCAGATGGATTGCCAGGAAGAATAAGCAACAAGAAACTCTGGCTGGTTGGCGACGAACCAATCAAGAACCTATCACCCAACAAATATGAACTGGAAGGAAGTGGAGATGGGGATGGATTGGACATACACTGAGAAGACAGACTGGGGACATCACGCGTCAGGCCAGGCACTCGAGTGGAACCCTCATGGGAAGCGACGAGTTGGACGTTGTAGGTGAGGGTGACATTGATGAGATCGTGCGAGGAGGAAATGGTAGCTTGTGGGCTGTCGTGGATTCAAGTTCAAAAGATTTCAGAGAACAGAGCTCATCGGAGACGTACTACTGAAGCCCTATGTTCTATTAGGAACCCAAAGGACAAGTAAATAAAAAATAAAATTCATCAGGGACTGACATCATTTGGGGAACCAGTTTGAACCTGGAGACATCGGACTGTCTTTTTGCCCTAGTGTGGGACTCCTCAGCAGTACGCACCCACAACCCGGCTAGGGGACAAACTCAAAACCTTCAGGTGTAACTGCAAATGCGTTATCCATACAGCCAACGGGTTGATTTTCATTGGTTCACTTTTTCCAATTTATGTCAATTCACGATACATGTTATAAGTAGTTGAACAACTTTCTTTCTAATATGTAGGTTAGGTTTATTCAGGTGGATTCCAATCTCCTGTGCTATGTGAAGTAAGCAAATGCGTAGTCCATTTGGTAAATTTATTGATAGACAATAGAAAATTATAAATTCCTTTCTAGTATGCAGTTGATATTCAATGTCAACTGAGTGTGCAGGAATGGAGCTCTTTATTTGTCATGACCAGTAGTATGATCTAACAGCCGACGAGCAATACAAGCCTAGCAGTCTACAAACGACACGAATCTAACGTGCAAACAAATCGATTCTAACGCAAATCAGAACGCCGATCACCACAACGATACCACTGACACGCGAAGACAAGAAGACAGACTGTTGATAGAGAACTTTTACTTTCTAAGCAACTGTCAATACAGTGGACGGAGATTCTGAATATATATATATATATATATATATATGAGCTCCTATGCAGATCCCTCGATACGTTTAATGAATACTTTGCTGGATAACCATTTCTTCTAAGCAGGTCACGGATAATGGGGAACTCTTCCTTTATGATATTATCACAGTAAATAGGTGTGGCACGACGTACTAGATTGTCGAACTACAGACATAACTAAAACGAAAGAACTCCATACTAGACAAGAAGATATAATGCAGAATAGTCGGACAGTAAATAATAATAACAATGCAGTGAACATGACTTTTTTGGCTGTAACCTATTTGAGTCTAAATGTAGTGCGCTGAAATCATATTCAGTCTGCATACACACAAATTTATTAAGAAAATATTATCGTGAATTGAATCGACATGATAATGAACAGTAATTTAACAGTCTCAGTGAACAAAGTTTACATTTTAAGCTTTCGATTACTAGTTGTATAGCTCACATTTTTATTTTTAAATATACAATTTCAATGTATTAATTAAATTAGTGGCTTGTTGGCATTGGATTATATATATATATATCAAGCTTGAAATCAGTACAACTAGAGTAGATTTAGTTTCAGCACAAATTATTTCTAAAATGTTTGAAAGTCGTTTAATTTGATGGATGCTATGGCCTTACCTTGATCACATTCATACTAATAGAAGTAGGCTAATTTACCCTTATAAATGTACTCAGTATGTAATGCTAAAGAAGGCGAAATTGAATTACTAATCAGGGGTATAACGAGTGACTTAATAGCTGCTGAAATAACCAATCAAATGTCTTCATCCTTCATAGTCAAAATACCGCAATCTGATTGGTTATTTCAGCAATTACTAGGGTATAACTATGTGCGACTCACTAAATAAAATCTTTTTTTCGAGTAAAGATATGTTATCTGTTTTAACTAACAGATCATCTTCGATATCATTTCTAATTTGATCTTTTATTGGTTAAAAAGTTTAACAAGTTAAAATTATGTTGAAATAAGTTTCAAGAAGTAGAAAACGAAGTTGTTAATGAAATGAATATGAAATGCAAACAGTCAAGGACGCAGTCGTATTCCTAATAACAAGTAACTGGAGTAGAGATAGGTATATATGCAATAAAAACACTAGAAAGAAAGTTAATTAAAAAAATATTTAACCAATATACTGAACAATATTCATGAAAATATGTTTAAAAATATCGCCTTATAAACGTTTTACTTGGCAGTTGTAAACATATGTAATATTTGTACTGGGTGATGATTGAAGAGGAAATGAAAACTTGTGTTACGGCTGCACTAGAACCAGAGACTGCTCGGTTTCCAGCCCGAAGCTCTACCAAAATAAAAATCTATTCAGCAGTCGGACTTCGTAGCTCAGCTGGTGGAGGACCAGGCTGGAAATCCAGTGGTCGCTGGTTTGAATCCAGCTGTGAACTAAACTTTATTTCACCTTCAATCATCGCTCAGTATAAATACTAATCTGTCAAACCACGGCTTTTTCATATGGTCAAAATAATATGTAATGTTGTCCAAATTCTTGAAGTATACTTTTTTTAATTCCTGTTGCTATCCTAATACAAATCCACCATATGGACACCTATGCGAATGTTTTGACATTACCTAATTACTGATTATGTCATAATTTGTTTAACAGTGGTTAGTAATGGAATCCAGCATGAATGTTTTGTCCCATTTGGGACTCGTCGGCAAGGTGCACTTGCAACCCAATGAGTGGTGTTTTTCCCAATGAAACTTGAATCCAGTATCCATAGTCTTTTAACGCCTAAGAGTTACCCACAGACATTCGTTTGATATTTGTCACCCAAGAAGCGGCTCTTATTGAAGTGTAGTCTGTCTGACTATCTTTCAGTTCCAAACGAGTAGTTGATTTTCTTATGTTTTGCCTATTTTCAGTTGTAATAATCAAAATTTCAATTCCACCACCAACAATTTTCAAAATAAATGCTTCAGCTTCCCCTGAGATCAAGATAAGTTAATAGGCGGCAGTTTTGTCCCATGAAACTATTTACTGTCAAGTCATTCGAAATGCGGTACGGTATGACGGAGACAACTAATTGGCAACATTGTACAAGTTATCCAGTACAGTCAAACAGATACATAAATCAACGTAGAGTATAACATAGAGGTGTATCACTTTAATTTGTACTACTAAGTAGCACTGCACAAAATAGAAATGGATCAGAAAAAGCTGATAGTGATGGCAAGAACCTGTATGAGAAGAAGGTGAATAAGACCGTGGAGATCAGTAAAATGTTCTGAACTTTGAACATTAGGAATAATGTATATATTTTGCACTCCTATGATCGATTTAATAATGTTACAAAGAGTTCTGTGATTCACTGATTACAATCACTTCGATGACTTTATCCAAACAAACTAGGTTTTCTTACATCATTAAGGCTTAATGCATCGCGATTATCATCATTAACATAGAACTATAGATTATTGAGTAACAGTCCAAGTTACAACACCTCATATCAGCACACCAAGTCACGAGGCAATAGAATTGGAGATGAAGAAGGAAAGAGAAGTGGATTAAAGGATTCCGAAAATAATAAAAGAAAGGAAAGAAGAATGAGATGATGAGATTAAGTATAGCGGTTAAGGTGAGGATAATGTGTGTATATATCAGGACCATTGACATCGATTCTGAGCCATATCATCTCAAGTTACAACCACTGGTTTCTCTTGTCCCGTGGACCCCAACTGGCTAGTCTGCATCGCCCTACGTGACCATCTCAGTCGATGAAGTTTCACAACCGCATCAACTGTCTTACGCCTCCTGCCAAAAGCTCTACATCTGACTTCTGCTTTAAGCTTCATTCATTGGCACCAAGTCTTTATCTGGTATCATTTACTCTTCTTCCAACATAATCTTAATTCGCCTTATTCTTTGAAACAATCGAAACGTTTTCTCCGAATACGCAATAGATACTTAAACATCCTTTGAATAATGAGTATTTGTAAGTCCATTAATCGACTTTCTTCATTTGTTAACATGGTACTTAACGCCTAAACTGAAAAAAGTTTGGTGTTCGTACATATATACAGTGTTAAGTTCTTGGTACGGGAAATACTCCTAAATGAACGAGAAGATATATAGTGAAAACATATCACAGCATGGCACTTGCTAAAACACTACGGTTTCAGTGCCACAAACCTTTATCAATCTCATTCAACAACTACATGAAGACGCCACATGTCAAGTGATCCACAATGGAAAGCTCAGCTCAGTGACGCCTTTGAAGTGAAGACAAGAGTAAGACAAGGCTGCAGTCTACTACCAGCGATCATCTTCCTGATTGTGGTCGAATGGATCATGCAGGAAACCGTGACGAGCGAGATAGTGGGCATACACTGGCTAGGCAGGTGTACAGTCTCCAGAAGAAGGTATGGATTTCACCGATGATGATGATTTATGTCTAATGCCTTGCCGCACAAACTCGAAAATCTACAAGCAAAATCTAACAATTTGACAGAGGAGACAGGGCAAGGCAGCGATAACGGGACTTCAAGGGAATGTAGAGAAGAAGGAGATGATGAAGATACCCAACCAACAACATCATCGACAACAAGCACCAATCACCATCAACAGGAGAAACCTAAAGAAAGTAGTCTCTTTCACCTACCCACCTACCTTGGCAGCATCGATTCAACTACAGGCGATACAGGCACAGATGAGGATGTAAAAGCCAGAATCGGAAACACAGCAAGGCGGGCTTTCATTAATCTGAAATCAGTGTGAAGATCTACTGCACTGCTCTCAGCATAAAGCGTGAACAACATCCGGATTTTCAACACCAATCCAGTCAAGTCAGTGCTGCTATCTGATGGTTGAGTAACTTGGCGTGTCACGAAAAGCATTTCCAGCAAACTACAGATATTCATCGACAGCTGCCACCTACGCTCGTCTAATACTGAAGATCAGATCAGCTGGCCAGAAAGAATAAGCAACAAGAAACTCACTCTGGGAACTAAACAACCAAGAACCTCTCACCCAACAAATATGCAGAAGGAAGTGGAGATGAATTGGGCAAACACTGAGAAGGCCGATTGGGTACATCATGCGTCAGGCCAGGCCCTCGAGTGGAATCCAAAGCGGAAACGGCGAGTTGGGCGTCCGAAGCAAGGATGACGTGGAGGAGATGGTGTGAGGAAGAAATGAAAGCTTGTGGACATTCGTGCAGCGAAGTTCAAAAGACTGCGTAGAACAGAGTGGAGGTGTGTTACTGAAGCCCTATGTTCCACTATAAAACTCAGGGGAAAAATAATAATAATAATAATGGCATAGTCTACAAATGAGGTATTCACAAGCCACTACAATCCGACTATTATTACTCTATTTTTAGAGGATATATTCCTTTGTATTTATATCAGGCAGTACCACCATAAACATTATAATACTTATGTCCAATTTTTATTCAAAGCAGTCTCCATTAGTTTTAAAAGAATATCCTGTAATTGCTAAATCCCAAATATATGAATTATACATATGTCAGATGATCAAGACTCTACATGTCTATCCTACTAATCTGTTTTTCACTGATACAATGAAAATGAAGTAAACATTTTCTATGCAAGAATAGAGGTTAAAATACTCTGATCGATTGAAATATTATTGTTAGGATGCATTTTAAATCTGTGGTCAATAATAAACAGAATTCATAATTGCAAATTTTCTTTTTTCGGTTTTTTCAAGCCTAAACATAGGTTACCGGCTTCTAATACCGACATTACAACAGATTTCAATGAATCATTAATAATATTCGGTAAACAGAAACTCTATAACCTAACAAGGTAATTAATAATCTATGCAATAAGCCTAATTTTTAAGATACATAATAAGTAGCGTAATACTAAGAGTTTTGCTTGATGATGATGATCATATCAGTTACCTGAAGTAGAAGAAGGCTGAAGGTTAACAGACATAGCGCCAGTGCATGAAGTCTGTGGCCATAATCTGACGAATCTCGAGACGAAATTAATTGATAGCTATAAGATCTTGGTGATATGCCTCAATATTGGTTCATTCTTATCTATCGGTCATCTATCACTGCTAATTGCAATAACACAGTCATATGAATACAGACCTCTATACTCAATATGCATCATCATCCCTTGGCTGTCACAGTTCTCAACATTAAATCTATTCATAATTATCAATCACCAAGATTCTAAGTACAGACAAATTTATATTGCCTTGACATAAAACATATCAAATTAACAAACGGAAGAAGAGAAATACTCAATGACAACAAGTATGGTTTAGTTAAAAACGCTTACTTTTCAAGTCTTCTGTAGCCTTCAACACAAGATGACCACAATACCAAGCAATAAAAGCTACAAATATTATCAGAAATATGCCCAAAGTGAATCCAGCCTATAGAATTCAAAAGATACAAAAGAAGTGATTCAATGTTCAACGTATTTATTCTTTTGAGTAAATAATTGGAAAACGTACCTCCTAATGAAGGTACAAATTGTTATTGAAAGTAATTTTCCAATAGAAGACAATGAATGATATATATTGATAGATTGTCAAGGTCATATATAATATAATGAGTTATATAACCACACAAGCCACTTGAAATAAATGTTCTAACAGTCAACAGTGAAAACTAAACACAATCAACAAAGTAATTCAGTTCGAGGTTTGTGCAAATTTTGTTTCATCAAATTTCATTAGTTGCATTACTACTGAAAGTTTGGGTGTACTGGACAGCCATTTCGTCGTAGTGTGCGACTCCTCATCAGTACACAACTTTGATTGCACCACCGACCAAACTTAGGATTGTCAGGTCCTGAGGTGAGCTAGTTAGCCTACAATTCCATTGTATGTGATTCCCTAATATCTTACACTGGGTTGGTTCTTTTGATATGTTATACATTCACTTATAAAGTTCCCGACTAAACAGTCTCGAATGGTATAATTTCCTTTCAAAATTTAAATACTTATTTCTTAAATTTTTAAATATATAGTTTGATTCTTCAGGTTGAATCCAATCATCTAAAGCTGGTAGGTACAGAGTATTTTTTAAAGGTGGGCTTTCCCATCACCTTTAGGAAACAAAACAAAATATCTTCAAAAGAATGCGTTAATCTCGATAACCATAAACATATGAAACTAAATACAGAAGCAATTCGACACTACAAACGGTGGAGAATATTTGTAGCTCAAGTGGATGGTCCCAGTTGCTTTGTATTCTCTGAGTTGAATTGTTCAATCATCCAGCTTTCATCTTCTGTCTACACAGTGACATCAGCACTAACCTCAATATGAAGTGAACTGTCAATATCTCTCCATGAGTAATTTAGTAGCTTCCCCTGACCAACTGCTTTGTGACTGGTTGTTTCCTTTGGTTGTGATGTCATTAACTATATGGGTTTTCTTGTCGGCTGCTTCACTCCTTGACCTCCCACCTCTCCGTCATTCATCGTTCTTCGCATTGGTTGATACATTCGGTCTATGCCTACACATCTATTGATTGCTGACTGACTGACTGACGTGAATGTCAAGCTCCTAAGAATTCTCTGATATTCCTTGTGTTTCCTGTCTCCATCGAAGATTTCTATATTGTCAAAATTCAATTCATATCCATGATTGTTATCCACGTGCACTGAAATGAGTGATGAAATGTCGTGATGTTTACCAGTCAGTTGGTATTTTTCTAAACGAAGGCGGAGGGAGCGATCACTTTGTTCAATGTAGTGTTGATCACAGTTATCGCAAGTGATTTAGTGAATGATCTTTTGGTTATCTTTCTTAACTTTTGCGTTCATTGGTCTGATTAATATGGTTTGAAGGAAATTTGTTGGTTTATAAGTCACACTAATTCCAGGCGGTCTCAATAGTTTTGTCGTGATCGCTTCTATATTCTTTTTGTTTATATTATCTATGCTCGACGATCAAATAACCCACCTCAGAGAACACAATATAACCAAGACATGACTAATTAATACGTGGAAGCATGAGCGTTTCCAGAAAACTACTCTTCATCATCAATACTCCTTTTAGTTATATGGTCACTTTGGCTCAATGTTATGCGTTATTATATTTATTTATTTGACTTAGCACACGGTGGTACAGTAGTTTTTACTGAATGGCACATTTTAATGTGCATAATTTTATCATGATTGTCACATAACCTTTAGGACGAGATTAATAGTTTAACTGATTATTGTTCGTTGATTTTTATAGTAAGTCTATGTAAGTAGATCTCTCTGAATATATGTGTCAGGTTTCGATTTACTTAGTAAATATTATGTGACCGTTCAACTTCTTTATACACCTAAGTAACGCTTTATTCTATTGTAAGGCTAACTGAATCACCTTTTTAAAAAAAAAATATCATTAGAATGATGGAACTTCATTTCAGAATAGGCAGGAAATTCGTATCACACTGAAACTAAAGAATGAGACGCAGTGGAACAATGATTGCCCTAAATGTCATTCAGTACGTAGTGCGGCATTAATAAATATGAAAGTGAATAAATTTAATTTAATTGAAATGATTGTAAAGATGTTAAGATAAGTGTAATTTCCTGTTACTAGACAGGGCTGAATTGCTCGACCTTTGTTGCCAGTTGGGCTTCCATGTGGGTGCCTCGATACTGCTGATTATTCATGATGTTATATTGATCTTGGTGATTAGCAGAGGAATCCGGGACATGTGTTTCATCCTACTTGGGACTCGTTAAGTGTATGTCCTTGCATCCCACTGAGATTTGAACCCAGTACCCTTCGCTTCAAACGCCACAGCGTTATCCGCTAACCCACTGAGGTATGACAGCCATCTGTTGTGCGACGGGTAACAAAGGGTGAGCAGTTCGGCCTTGCATAAGCAACGGGAAATTAAAAGTAACATGACAACAACTGATATCCGTTGAGCAAGATGGGGCTGTCATGCCTCAATGACTTCGCGGGTAATGCTCTGGCACTTCAAGCGAAGGGTACTGGATTCGAGCCCCAGTGGAAAGAACATCATTCACTGGAGTGTGGGCCCATCCAGCTGAGGAGACCCAAATAGGCTGAAGCGAGCATTCTAGATTCCTCTGCAAGTTGCCAAGATCGGTATGATTATAAAGATTTGAACCTTGAGATGAAGATGATAGGGATTCGTTGTTCCCCCACCTTCGGTATTTTGTCGTAGAGATTTCATCACTAGGTTTAGTGACATTCGCAGCACTCAAGATATTATGAAAATAACAGAAGACTGAACAGATAAAATGAAGTCTAGTACGCTATTTATGTTATTCAGTACTTTCTCATTCTATATATAGCATGCACAATATAAATCTGCTTGAACTGTTAGAAGTTTATAACAAATTAAAATGAGACAAGTCTTACACTGTAGTATATCTTAAATTGCAATTATACAGCTTTCTGAGATTATTGGGGATTTTAATTTTAAACTTTAAGGTGATATTCCACATGAACTGACATCAGCTGAAGAGCCACTGAAACCCTGGAAGTACTGGACAAGTATTTCGTCCTGGTATGGGACTTCTCAGCAGTATGCACCAACAATACAGCTAGGGATCGAACTCAGAACCTTCAGGTTTCATAGCGAATGCTTTAACCATTAAGCCACCTTGGCAGAAATTATAATGCTCCTCAGTTTCTACAATTTCTAAATTTTTCATTCTTCAAGAAATAAGAAAATAAGGTCTTACTACAAGGTTAACTGTGTGGAGAATTTAAATTTCGTTAACATCTAAGTAGTTAACCTTTAATTTCTATATTTTTCTAAAAGATTTGCTTCGTAAAAGATTATCGAAAACACTAAATCAAAGGTGAGGATTAGTTATGTACACTGGTTCGACAAAACTCCTGAATATTTTGGTTGAAATGTATCAATTAGCTATGAATGTTTTTTTTGTTGTTGAGGAAATGTTGACTTCTCATTTTGAATCCAGTGAAATATAGATTAAATTCTTTATAGGTGTAAAACATACCAAATTTGTACAAAACCTTTAAGAAAAGCATTTTAAAAGTACCAGGATAAAACGATATACAGACAACAGACGACTGTTTACTTAAAAGTATGCGAAGCATAAAGAAAAAGACTCTAGGATTCATGAATAATAGATTATTTTTTAAGATGTTTTCACACTTTTAAAAACTTTCGTTTGATTTATAAGTGGTCAGTCATGAGAAATAACAAAGACAAATATTTGTACTTCACAGCTAATTAAGTTTTTATTATTCTTGCATAAAAATAACTAAATAGATAGGTGAAATTAGGTACAACTTTCAGATTGGAGATTAGACAAAGTAGTCGCCCCTTCCGCCTTCATTTAGCAAAAATACCAACTGACTGGTAAACATCACAACATTTCATCACTCATTTCAGTGCAAGTGGATAACAATCATGGATATGAATTGAATTTTGACAATATAGAAATCTTCGATGGAGACAGGAAACACAAGGAATATCAGAGAATTCTTAGGAGCTTGACATTCACGTCAGTCAGTCAGTCAATAGATGTGTAGGCACAGACCGAATGTATCAACCAATGCGAAGAACGATGAATGACGGAGAGGTGGGAGGTCAAGGAGTGAAGCAGCCGACAAGAAAACCCATATAGTTAATGACATCACAACCAAAGGAAACAACCAGTCACAAAGCAGTTGGTCAGGGGAAGCTACTAAATTACTCATGGAGAGATATTGACAGTTCACTTCATATTGAGGTTAGTGCTGATGTCACTGTGTAGACAGAAGATGAAAGCTGGATGATTGAACAATTCAACTCAGAGAATACAATGCAACTGGGACCATCCACTTGAGCTACAAATATTCTCCACTAGATACATTACTGTCGGAAAGATTGAAACAAATCCATTAGAAGTTGTTTTAAAACCTTAGTATAGTACCATAATGTTCTACTGACACAACAATATCCCTGTTGGTACAGTTTCTAATCAGTGGATGTTTGGTTGCTAACTAAAGTCTTCTGCAAGTGAAAAAAGTAAAAGAGTAGCATCAGAAGCTAGTCTTTCATCAAGACTGAAGAAATGTTTTCTACTAACTATGAAGTTCTAATGAGAAGTCGTGACCGGTGGAGTCAAAGCCTGATGGTCATGAAGACAGTTACTCAACGATGACATTGGGTGTCGGTTGCGCTATACTGCCAGCTAACAGAAGTTTGAAATATGGACCTTTGGATTGTGACCGAGTGGCTCAGTGGTCACTCACCGGCCGCAGATCCTGAGGGTAGCGGGTTCGATCCCTGGCGGGATCGAGGGTGAGCACTGCTGAGGAGTCCCATGCTGGGAAGAAATAGCTTTCCAGCGCTCCCAGGCTTCCTTTGTTCCTCCAACTGATATCAGTCTACGATGAAAAACAACTTGAAATATGAATTTATATGCCACGGATAGACCACTTTGGAAGTATGAAAACTCGAAAAATTTTGATCGCTTCCTCAGAAACAGTAAAACACAAGCAACGAACTGTAGAGTAATTTTCTATGTGATAAAATATATTCTCAGACAATAAATGTCAAAGTTTTTTTTGAAATATGGTAGATAGAACTACTTAAAAAATAAAGTTTTGAGTAACATTAATAAGTATGAAAAATTTTAGGGCTATTCGAAATCCAGAAAACTAAATCACAAATTATTTTCATTGTCACCATTATCATTGTCTATCTCATAACTATCCAGAGAACAACAATAATCCTTTTTGCTGTATTGTGTTCTCTGAGCTGGGTTGCTGGATCGTGAAGCTTTCATCGTCTTTCTAGACGTCATCATCAGCATTAACTTTAGTATGAAGTTAGGAAGCACAATACTATCAAGACTATCCAAATGAGCTACAAATATTCTCCACTACTTGAAAATTATACGAGCGTGAAACGCTTCACGTTGTTCGAAGATGGAAGGACTTCTTCACAAACGAAGGTCCCACAAAAGAATAGCTATACTTTCTCTATGAGTGCCTACGTCAGCATGTTCTGCCGAAGAGTGTCAGACAACAATAATACATTATGCTCATATCAGTAAACTGAGTAAAATCTTACCTGTTGAATAGCCCAAGGCATAACCAGAATTGAAGTGCCCATCATTGTATTCCATATTGTAAAACTGTTGGTAACAGAATAAACAAGATGAAAAATTAGAAACAATTGTCATGAATGCTTTCAACGTTATTTTATTTTACAGCCTAGTCTTAGTATGGGACTTCTCAGTAGTGCACACCCATAACCCCACACCACCACAGACCAAACCTAGGGCCTTCTGGTTTCGTGGCCACCACGTTACCGTTGAGCCACTGGGTCGGAATTCAGTGATTTATATTTCCTACTTTTGTCACTTCATGACATAACTCGACCACCACCGAATGTCATCGCTGAGTAGTTGCCCTCACTTCCATCAGGTTTGCTCTACCGGTCACGAATTCCCATTGGAAGTTCAGGAATCTCGTTTCGAGGCTAGTCACCAATAAGCACTAGATTGATTCAGTTCAATTAGAAAAAATCATTCAACTCATAAAATATACTATTTAACAGTTTGAGTAGTTAAGAACCACTTAAACTGATCTATCGAATTCACCATCCAGATCAAAGTTCAAGATACTTTTGTGTCAGAGGTCACACCTTGCGAACTTGGTCGAAAGGTGGTTTCTGACGGTAAACCTGTTGACATTACGGTTGTACAGCTGACTGTGAGAAATAACAATGAGAAGCATGCAATTTGCAAATTTGAACAATGCAAGAACAAGGATATTTCCAGAATAAAATGAAATCATTTTATTTCCTAGCCTTTCATCAGCTGCTACACAACCTTCATTAGAAATGAAATATTGGTAGTAATAATAACATAGTGTACTTAAAATATGCAGAAATAAATGGAGATTTGAAATCCAGGATTAACGGTAAAGTAGTGAGTGAGCTGGTCAAAGAAACACAGGGATAATAATTACACATCTAAGTCAAAATCTTTGGCTATTTATATATGACGAGGTAGGAAATTCTGGAGCTGTGGAATGAGGGGACTGCGAACGAAAATCAGTGTGAAAGAAGGGACTATTTAAGAGGTGATAGGCTACGTAATTGTATGAAAAACTTGAAAATCGTTAAGTGAATAACATTCAGCAAATAATTAATGAAAGGACGACGCAATCAAAAAAAAGGAAAGACTATATACATACACAAGCAAAAATTATATACATTTACCAAGGTAAAAAAAGTTAATTACAATCTCCTTCTGTGCACATAGGTCAGGTTGAAAACGTTTGATAGAGACAACTTCCGCAAACCGTAATCAACATGGTGTGTTTTGTTTGTTGATTATCCTGAAAGATTGAAAAACATTTATTTGATGTCCTATTTCCATCAAATGCCTGAAGATTGTGCTGTTGAAGACCTTGTTACCATTCAGGGAGATTTCTCGGAATATGCTCATAATATCGAGTAGACACCCTTCTTTCAGTCCGTCCTATGTACTTGCTTCCACAAGTACAGCTGAACTGATATACGCAGGTGAAGGTGATGTGTGATGGATATTAATCTACTTTCGACTGTGTTATTGAGCATAATGTATTGTAAACTCAGATCAGTCTGGCAGCTGAGAATCTCCTCAGCTTAGTTTTTATTCTTTTATCTACTCTTTTAGATGTCTCATTGGTTTTGAATGCTAGGCTAAGGAAAACAAGCTTCTTCTCAACAGTTGGATGCTTTGGCCTCTCAATAAGTTCTTTTCCACTGATTTTCTTTCGCAGTCCCCTCATTCCACAGCTCCAGAATTTCCTACCTCGTCATATATAAATAGCCAAAGATTTTGACTTAGATGTGTAATTATTATCCCTGTGTTTCTTTGACCAGCTCACTCACTACTTTACCGTTAATCCTGGATTTCAAATCTCCATTTATTTCTGCATATTTTAAGTACACTATGTTATTATTACTACCAATATTTCATTTCTAATGAAGGTTGTGTAGCAGCTGATGAAAGGCTAGGAAATAAAATGATTTCATTTTATTCTGGAAATATCCTTGTTCTTGCATTGTTCAAATTTGTCATCCAATCATTAGACTGAATGCACAACGTATTTGAAATCTTCACAAATGTTAAACATTAGAAGACACTTCAGGTTGATGAAACCAGTATCCGCAGATTAGATTTCTAGGAAACCTCAATATTTGCTCTGACAGCTTATTTTACAATATTTAAATTTACCTGTTCTATGCCATTTCGTATTTCAGGTTCAAAAGCTCATTTTTCTTCACCTTTTTGAAAAGAATCCTCTCACTATGCTTATGCTTAAACTTTTTGCTTATTAGTAAAGTGTTTTGTGTTGACTGATGAGATTGATAAGGCCTATATTAGGAACTGTATTCCCCTTCTTCTGTGGGTACACTTATGGTGTTTAAGATGATGGTATCTTGGAGACTAATTCCGTAAACTTATCATTAGCTATCATCGTGGTATAAATGCGAATAGGTGACAGTTAGCCATTTATGCATTGTGCGATTCCACTTCTTAACCGTGACAAATTCTGTACTACATTTGATGGAAATCGATAGTCAAGAGATTCGCGAAAAGTTAAGTATGATATCTCATAATTAGCATTTGACTAATATTGATAAAATTAATCATGATATACTCAATTTTATAGCTTATATTATTTCCCATAGTGATATAAGCTTGCATTTTTGTTAGATATCCTGTACTGTGTTTAACTATCGCTCTGTGGTGGTCTACTGAACAGTGTCAACCAGTAAAAGAGCACTAAGGTTATTTGCTGATTCCGGTTCATTATAAAAAATCTAGCATCTGAGCAACATAGTGCAACAATGAGAATACACTGAGCACATGCGCTGGATGTTAATAAAGGGTGTGTATAGGGTACAGGCTCCTGTGCGCTTGCTTAGAAATTGACTGAAGAGTTATTGTTTTTAACTCCGTTATGGTTAGCAGTGGAATCTGGGATGTACATTTTATTCTGTTTAAGACTCATCAAATGAAGGTATCTGTACTCCAGTGAATACATTTTTCTATATCCTAGCTGGCTATAAATGATGATATTTGTACGGTTAGCGAAAGTATAACTTTACCGAAAATATAAGATAGTAAAGATACGGAAATATGAGAAAGTTATAAGACAAAAATGAATACTATGAATCTTGGATTTCGATGGTGGTTCAGTGTTTTTCCGAACGAGAAGAGGGAGATACTCTGGACCAGGGAAAAGACCCTAGAAGATTTGGATTTCTCCGATGACTTATGTCTAATGTCACACAAACTCAAAGATCTACAGGTGAAATCTAACAAGTTGACAGAAGAGGCAACAAAAACGGGACTTCAAGTGAATGTAGAGAAGACGAAAGTGATGAAGATATCCGACCAACAACAGCATCAACAACAAGAGGCACCAATCACCATCAACAGGAGAAACTTGAAGGAAATAGTCTCTCTCACGTACCTTGGCAGCATCTTTTCAATAACAGGCGGTGGTGGCAAAGACAAGGACGTCAAGGTTAGTCAGGATCGGAAACACAGCAACACAGACCCTCATTAATCTGAATCCAGTGTGGAAATCTACTGCACTGCACTGCACTCAGCATAAAGCGTGAACAACATCTAGATTTTAAACATCATTCGAGTCAAGTCAGTGCTTCTATATGGTTCAAAGACTTGGCGCGTTATGAATAGCATTTCCAACAAACTACAGACATTCATCAACAACTGCCTACACTGGCTCGTTACTGAAGATGAAATGGCCAGAATAATAAGAATAAGCAACAAGGAACTCTGGCTGGCTGGCAACGAACCAACCAAGAACCTATCACTCAACAAATATGCAGAGAAATAAGGTGAGGATGGATTGCGCATGCAGTGAGAAGACCATTCTTGGACATCACGCTCAGGCCAGGCACTCGAGTGGGACCAAGATGCGAAACGGCGAGTTAGGCGTGCAAGGTGCGGGTGACATGGAGGAGATGATGTGAGGAAGAAATGACAGCTTGTGTGGAGTCATGGCGCCAGGTTCAAAAGATTGCAGAGAAGAGAGTTGAAGGGAGATGTGTTAGTGAAGCCCTACGTTCCACTAGGAACCCAAGGAACAAATAATAAAATAATCACTGTTCTCTGAGCTTTTGTATGTTAAATTTCAAATTACACTTTTAGCTATGCTTTTTCTATTATCAGATAGAACAACAGAGGTGGGCGAATACCCTAACTACTCGGTAGTTTTCCTTAGATTGTGCCGATAAGTGAACGATAAATTCCTTTAGTTTCAGTTGCTTTATTCATCAGGACGCACACGTACGCAAAGTAATTACATTTATATCCAAGGGAAACTTAAGCACTGTGGTAGAGTATATTTACATAAAAGATTTTTTTTCTCTTATATATCACACAGTGACAGCGTATTATTTACTGGATGATTTTTAACCCTCATATCCTACTGCATAGAGAAGATTATAAAAACTATTATAGCTAAGTGGTGGGTGAAACTAATCGTAGAAACGTGATTCATCGAATCAACACATAAAGTATGTATGAGAAATGAATCGTCCCACATAGCAGACATTTGGAAACTTTTACTATTATAAAACTGAAAGAATTATAAACTCTTAGACTCTACAAATATGAAAGTCATACACTTAGTTCTCTTGACAAATTTTGAACAATCCAAGAACAAAATGGAAATTGACTTGATTATGAGCAGTATACTCTGCTTAAAAAATTACCCAATAAAGTATACTTTGATACTGTGTGATGAATGAGAGTGAAATAAAAATTTAGACCGTGTCAGGACTGAAACTAGCAACCATCGTGCTCTACCAAATGAGCTATGAAACCTGACTTCTGGCCAGATTTTTATTTTACTTAAATTGTAAGCTACCATGTGAATTCGTGACGTGTTACTACTACTTGATCGTACTCACACTGGCTGCGTAGTTAGGACTTCTTATCCCAATCTAACTGAATTAGACATGAGGAGCATCATAGTGGTTATCATTTTGGCTATCTGAAATAGCTATGGTTTGGCAGAATTGTAAGGATACTCGATGGTAATTGAAGGTGAAATGAAAATTTGGACCATGACCGGATTCGAACCACCGACAAGTGGGTTTCCGAACCGGTGCCTTACCAACTGGGCTACGGCAAACATTTTGGTGATTGAAGTGAAATAAAAATTATACTTTATCGTTGCATATTATGTGTACCAACGAGATTTACATACGTAGATCAGCATTCACTCATCTAGGTAAGTTGAAATACGTTCCCATTCACGCACGGGATTAAATTCATTTGCAAATCAAGTCGAGATATTAGGATTTTAGAAAGTTTTAAAGTGAAACGATGAAAATGTTTCATAGTTATATATGTACCACAAACCTTTATCAATTTCATTCAAAAACTATATGAAGACTCCACTTGTCAAGTAATTCACAATCGGAAGCTTAGTGACAAATTTGAAGTGAAGACAAGAGTAAAACAAGGCTGCCTATTATAGTAGTGGACTGGATCATGCAACAAACAAAGAGGATTGAGAAGAGGGGGCTACGCTGGACCAAGCAAAAGATCCGAGAAGATATTGATTTCGCCTATGATGATTTATGTCTAATGTCGCACAAACTTGAAGATTTACAGGCGAAAACTAGCAAGTTGATAGAAGTGGATGGGCAGCGAAGACGGGACTTCAAGTGAACATAGAGAACACAGAGGTGATGATGCTACTCAACCAACGCCACCAACAACAAAAAGATCCAATCACCATCAACAGGAGAAACTTAAAGCAAGTAGCCTCTTTCACCTGCCTAGGCAGCATCTTTTCAACAACAGGCGGTGGCGGCACAGACGAGGACATCAGAGCCAGCCAGAATCGTGAAGACAACAACGCAGGCCCTCATTAACCTGAAACCAGTATGGAGATCTACTGTACTCGGCACAAAGAACAAGATCCGGATTTTAAACACCAATTCAGTCATGTCACTGCCTCTATATGGTTCAGACACTTGGCGTGTCATGAAAGGCATTTCCAGCAAACTGCAGACATTCATCAACAACCGCCTACACTAGCTCGTTACTGAAGCTCACATGACCAGAATAATGAGAATAAGCAACAAGGAACTCTGATTGGTTGGCTGGCAGGTTGGCTGGCTGGCTGGCAGGATGGATGGATGGATGGATGGACGGATGGATGGCAACGAACCAACCAACAACCTATCACTCAACAAATATGCACTGGAAGGAAGTGGAGATGGAGATGGATTAGGCATACACTGAGAAGACCATTCGGCGACATCACGTGCCAGGCCATCGAGTTGAACCCAGATGGGAAACAAGTTTGGCGTCCGAAGTGAGGGTGACATGGATGAGATCGTATGAGGAAGAAATAAGAGCATCCGGTCAGTCGTGGAACCAGGTTGAATAGATTGCAGAGAAGAGAGTGGAATGGAGATGTGTTACTGAATCCCTATATTTCACTAGGAACCCAGGGGACAAATAGTAATGATGAATAATATATACATATATCTATATACGGATTATGAAGCAGTGTTGTATGAAGTCTACCCCGAAAAAATATCTAGACTAAAGTGCTTGGAGTGATTTCCCTATGCAGAAATAATTCACACCAATCTACAGTGTGCTTCTATTGCAGTTTAACATAACAAGCCTTCAAAATGAAACAATGTCTAGCGCTCAATAGTGAATTTCTTCTAGATGGGTTTCCTGGGGTTTTAGTGAAGATTCAGGACCTCTGAGACAAAGTTAGTCGGACATCAGGACAAATCTTCAGCGATGGCATTGAATAAAAGTCAAGCTGTTTCGTGAACTGGCAGCTCAGAATTTTAGCTGACTTCTGAATCCCAACAATAATAGCTGAGCGATAGAGCTATCAACATGAGTCCTGAAGGTAGCGCATTTGATTCCTATTCGGCTCATGAGTGCATACTACTCAAGAATTTCATACTAGGGTGAAAATTCTGTCCATTGATCTCAGATTTTCGAAAGTTCTTTAGCTGGTGTTAGTCCATGAGGAATATTCCCTTGAAAATGATCTACACCACAAACCTCCAAAATGAAACTAATAATAATCACTTAATTCAGGAGTAGTCATTACCTTCAACTTTCCAAATGCTAAAACATAAATAGAATGAATTGAAATAACAGCCTCTATATGATAAAGTTAGGAGTAATAAATAGAACGTTCTATACACGTCGTTTCTGTGTATCTTCCAGTATTAGATCAATGTTCAATTCATCTTATAGACATATGGCTAACTATTGCTATGGAACATATTATATAAGGCATACGATTAGGAGGGTGCATCTCTAGATATAAGAAAACTTACCAGTTTGGTTTGGAAATGTTGAAGTCAAAGTTGCAAACATTTCTATCTTTGCTCACCTACCAAACACGAGTCATCAGATAGATGATAAACAAGCTTTAAATAATATACATTGAGTACTAAAAACAATACCACGTATATTTCAACAGTATCTACTCAAAATAACTTGGACTTCAGTAATACGATTGATCAAATCTAAGCTATACATTCAGAAGGAACATGATGAAGCAGTATTACTTTCTTCCGCTTCAGCAAACTAAAGATCTCTCCCGTTTTCTTTTCTTTTACAATCATATTCTTCATCTTCACCGATTTACTTAAGATTCCTAACTTATCCCATTTTAAAAATGTATTCATCTTAAACTTGACTTGTTTTACGCTATACAGATGCATTTTTATAACTATAGAACCTCATGAAAATTTATTGGAAAAAATATTTTTCACTCAGATTGTTTTTAAATCCTTGAAAAAAAAGAGATGCCTGAAAGAAATGAGATATATCTGGACAACTATCAAGTAGATTGATAGTTAGTAGTATATCTAGTTAAACAATAAGACAGTTTAGTGTGTCTTTTGTTTGACCTATGGAATGGATATACCTAAGAAAAACTTTATCAATATCCGAATAATAAACATCACTTAAAGTTTTTGTTTACCTTAAGACTGATTTTCTAAAGTTCAAAGTCATCGAAAATTATTATTTTATTTGAAAACTTTCACTTATGTCTAGACAGATTAAATAATCACACTATCATAAATGAAGCATTTATGCAAGAAAATTATTATTATTATTATTATTATGACAATGACTCCAAGATGTCTTTGAAAACGGAAAACAGTCGAAAAAATCTAAAAGAACCGAATCCTTAGGATGTTTACTACTTTTCTAAAAATAGTTTGTTTACGAAAAGATTTCTTTGAAAAGCATAGGGTTATAGTGTTTTTTAAACCATTTATATATGTCAGTCACGTTTTTACCTATAAAGAATGGTAGTGAAAAGAATACTACTATTCATTTTTTTTAATTACTGGCACATTATGAATTCCATTTGAATCTGTGCACATGAGTAAATCAAGTCAGGCTGTAATTTTTACATTAACCTATATTATTTTTGATATTTGAAATAATGGAGAATAATTGTAGCTCAGGTGGATGGTCTTGGTTGTATTGTGTTCTCTGAGCTGGGTTGTTTAATCATCAAGCTTCCATCGTCTTGATAGATGACACCATCAACGCTAACCTCAGTATGAAATGAGCTGTCAATATCTCTCTACGAGTGATTTTGTAGCTTGCTCTGACGATATGGTCTATGATTGGTTGTTTCCTTCGATTGTTGTGTCATTGTGGCTATTAAACGCCACGACATTTCGTCACTTATTTCAATGCACGTGAATAACAACTATGAACATGAATTCAGTTTCGACAATGTAGAAATTTTGGACAGAGGAAACACAAGGAATATCAGAGCATTCCTAGAAGCTTGACATTCACGCCAGTCAGCAATCAATAGATGAATAGACACAGACTTGATCTCTCAACCAATAAGAAAGATGATAAACGACAGAACGGCCAGAGATCAAGCAGAGGAACAGTCAACAGAAAAGTCTATACAACCAATGACACAACAATTGAAAGAAACAAACAATCACAGACCATATCGTCAGAGCAAGCCACTAAATCACTCACAGAAAGATATTGATAGCTCACTTCATACTGAAGTTAGTGCTGATGATGTCACTGTCTAGAAGGACGATGAAAGCTTCACGATTATTTTTGACATTAAATATATTGCGTATTTCGGCAAGTTACAGCATGTTGGAAATAAAATAATTCCAGAGTTTTACCCAGAAGTCTGTTCTAAGCTTCTTCAGAAAGACAACTAAGATGTTAAATATCAAGGATACATAAATGAATCCAAAGACGTGTACTTACTCTTCTTGTCTAGACCTTTTTGTCTAGTCATGTCTTTGGAAGTCACGTCTTTAGGTAATTAGTGCTTAAGATTTCATGAAGCCTAACGATGGAACGTCTACGATAGAATACTAAAGATTAGAAAACACTAAACCACCATTATACCTTTGATATTTTGATTATTGGTTATTTCTATTAAGAAGCTCAGATCAGGCTTCTATGAGAAACGTCAGAATTATTTCATTTCAAACACTCTATGGCTTAAACAAACATAAACCTTATCCAATATCAGCCTTTTATACATTGTCCAATATTTACGACACCGTTCGATCAAATCCTGATCATAGTTTATGTGCATATACTCCTTTTTATCCGCCCTTTTATTATTCAACTTGGTAAAACTTCTAAGATAGTATTCACCATACAGTGACATCATTTAGGGAACCATTGAAAGCATTAGAGCAACGGACAGCTGTTTCGTGCTAGTATGGAACTCTCTAGCAGTACGAACTCATGACCCGAATAGCCATTGTACTTGGGACCTTAAGGCTTCATGGCGAACGTCTTAACCATCCAGCCAGTAGGTCAGAGATTAGTTCTCCACATCAATACGATTGTATATAACTTTAGCCCTTTACTCAGCTTCCAATATTTGTGAAAATATTCGATCAAATCTTGATCACAGTTCATATGTTTGTATTTTTTTAAATTCAGTTCTAAATATTTAACATAATAAAAACTCCTTTTATGACCACAACTTATTTTCATAGAGGACAAATATGATCACTGGGAAATGTGCACAACGGTGCTTTAGTTTACGTTAAACATGCGTAATATACTTTGTAATCATGGACAGCCGCGCAGTATACTCGATATTTAACAGAAACTCAGATATGTTACCAGAGCCATAGGTGGTACAAGTTGGCAAGTCTAGAACGGGCCTTCTGTATCCCAGGTAAGATGTCGTCGGCAACCAAACGATTCGAAAAGATACAACTCCCCATGTAGGTGAAGGTGTCAACACATTCCACTTGTTTTACCCCCTACAATTAAACTGGGAGTACTTGAAGCAGACTATTTCTGCAGTATCACCTTACATTTGGCAAGTGTGAGATTCATGTCAGCTAGAAATATATACTCAGATTTCTGCTCAACGCATTCAGAAGACCCTGTATCTTGTCAGTCTCTTCACCTAGCAGGACAACATCATCTGCATACTCCAAAACAACCAGATCATCTCCAGATACGGAGTAAGTCAGACGTAACTAAGGTTAGGTCTGTTGGTACGAAAGTGAGACAACGCCATTAAAATTAGAAGACATGAAGCTATTACAGGATTTTGAACACAGATATCTCCACAATACTCTTGAGGTTTGGTGGAATCACCGTGTTAGCAATGTTGAAGTCAGGTGAAGTGTACTAGGCAAGACAGCCAACTGGATTGTTAGGGTTGTGAACCTTTGTTGACTGAGATAGCTTGAACACATACTTCCCATGCAGATCTACCTCCTAACTCAATGTGTCATGCTAGGGAAATATGGGTTAGATTGTGAGAGTGTTCAGAGTGCCCAGTCGAAGACGCAGCACTATCCAGTGCATTGTCTGATTATTGGTCTGAACTATGTGGGGTGATCTAGACTCTTTGGATGGGGTCCTTGAGACGAAGGGAATCAGTGACTGAGGACTCTTGGTGACACACTCAAAAATCGGTCACAATGACACAGATGTATCCACTTCCTGACGTCTTCTAAAACTTAAATATTTGAACTAAGTGTTTCCTTCAAAATGTTTCTTTCCTCAATCTCTTTCTATCCACCTGTTTTTGTGTACTCACTTAAATTGAGGAAAGTTTAGGCTATGCAATTTTGTGAGAGGTTCTACGTTGCTTCTGTCAGTCAGTCATAGTTATATCACATGCAGATCCGATTCAGTCTATATTTAGTCATCAGGAAGAATAAATTAAAACTGGCAAAACATACTGTCCAGTGATGACCATATATTTTGCCCATTTTAATTTGATTTAATTCAAAGAATCGAATTTTTCCCTAATGATATAACTTACAGTTCAACATATAAAAAGGAGAAAAAATATATTGATTCGTCAGTGAAGAGTAACTAATTTCATGTTGTCTAGTCAGGAAGGATGTGCGAATTCCACCAGTCATTTCAAAATGTGGTCATGAACCTGAGAGACTCATCACTGTATTTCTCTTTGACAGATTTCAGTCGATTGGAGGCATTTAGTGGGAAGTTTCGTGTTTTTCGACAGTGACCAGTATGGCGTATTTGATTCAATCCGTGAGATTTCAGTTGATGTAACTCAGGGCTACAGTCAAGGACAGTGGAACTAACCCGGGTCCCAGTCTCATATATGACACTGATTCTATCGAGGTCGTGGATATTCTGTGTTGATAGATGTCAACAAGGATGAGACTTAAGTCACACAGAACTTTTTATCAATTGTCTCCAGCCAACTAGAACCACATGTTAACGAAAAAAATTAAATTAAATGAGTTTACTTCACTTCATTCAAAAAATTCCCATGCAAACTTGTTCCGGTTTGTTGATTACTATAGACTTAAACTATTTATTGATTTAAAAGACAGAAAAAATCCTTTTACCAAGTTCATTGAATAGAAAGAAAGGATAATGTAGAAAAGTTCCATGAAACAACCTGTATTCAAGGACGTTTTACTTCTGAATAAAAAACACAATAAAACTTAAAAGTTATAAGAACTTATAAGCATAAAAGTGAATAGATATGATAGTGTATCGGGATCAAAACAACACCGTAGTAGCATAATGTAAGGCTTTAAAAGAGAGAGGGAGGGGTACGGATCAAGTTTATTATGATCTATGAATATCACTTCACCAAGTTTTTTTAACTGTTAACCTGTAACATCTCACTGTTGCAGAGTAGAAATATAAGCACTTAAAGTTCGAAACACTACTTACCATTTTCAAGTCGATGATTCTATTGTCTACTTTCCAGTCATACAAAACTTTTAACTTTGCTCCTTGTCGTACAAACTTATTTTCATTACATGACTTCACCAAAACATCTAAGCTGATTAGTTTCTGTTTTAACTGGATGATAATTGAAGGTGAAATGAAAATCTATGCCACGATACAACTTGAACCAGCCGTTTCGGGGTTTAAAACATGAAGTAGCCCTGATTTTCATTTCACTCTCATTCATCATTCAACATCAGTACAAGTCTAGCAAATCACAGTTATCTCTCAGATAGTTAAACTAATAATTTCTGTTGAGTTTAGAATATTATTTCTTAATGTAGGAAATTTCAGCGAATAGTAAACCACCATAAACTTCATCCGGAGCTACAAATCTTTCCCATTTATTTCAAGATTTTCTTTATTGGCAATTCCTTCCTTGTTGAATGATCTCACCTCACTTTTAACTCCCTAAAATTCACGCCAACACTTAATAAGTATACATTTCAATAATAATAATAGTTTTATTCCCAACAAAACACATGATTCAGTAGGGAATTATCAGTATGTAGTTTTTGAACAAAGTCGCTGACGAGACAATATTTCAGGCGAAATGTTTATTGCATCTGAACGATGCTAATAATAACAGTATTCAGAGCAATAATGCGAAATAGCCAATCATAATGAAGAATCCAGAGAGTATGTTTTCTGGTGATGGTTCATTCAGCCAGTACAAGAATATGCATCTTAAGTTAAGTATCCGAGGCATATAAATAAAATATACTTTTGCGTACTGAAAAGTCCACTTACATACAACATTATTTTTTTTTCTATATTTTGTAATTAAATCGAGAAATGATGAGTTGAAAACATCTTTAAAATGTATAAGAGTACATGACACATTCAGTGGACAGGTTTAAATGATTAAAACAAATTGAAAGGTAAAAAAATGACATAAACGTTGGGTAGTAAGGTGGCGGGTATGTTGGGTTGGTAGCCCAATGTTCAAGCAAGCCGCCAACAAGCGGTTAAAAAAGATTACTGTATGCGGTGCTAAGGAAATATCAACTTTCTCAGTTATTTTCGTAAAGATATTTAGGATTGGCGTTTTTTCTGTGCTTTTATTCTACATTTTAAGGGATACATATCCAATTAATTACCCTTAAAGTCACTTACATAAAGTAAACAATCGAAAGTACAGGCAAAATAATGTTCTGATTATTATAGTCACTTTTGTCTGCTATAATAAAATACTTTGTACACCTTTACAGTAGTATTCTTCATGAACTGAAATCAGTTGGAGAAGCATTGAAAACCTGAAAGCACTGGGCAGCTATTTCGTCCTAGTATGGAACTTCTCGTTAGTACACGTGCACTTTCGGGCTAAAGATTGGACTTAGGACTTTCAGATTTCACGACGAACGCGTAGACCATTCAACCACTGATTAAATGTTCAATAATCCACATTTTCAATTCGCTTC